GAGTCCTCTTCACACACTGAGGTTAATTATGGAGTTCCACAGGGTTCAGTGCTAGGACCAATTCTGTTTACATTATACATGCTTCCCCTAGGCAGCAGAAGACATCCAGGCTCTAGACTAACTTTTTGTCACGGTTGCACTGGTGCGCCTAAATTTTCACCCAAATCGATGAACACTGCAGTTTTATGTGTGCACTTTTGTCCATACAGACAATATTGATTTGTAAATGATTAACTAACAATCTTGTGCTTGTGCTTAAAGTGTGTTGGCACTGTTTGGTAATATTGTAGACAATGTTAAACTTAATCATCACATCGGCTCCTCTGACGACCTGTTTGCTGGACACACTGCTGCTTTTTCAGCATTCAGAGGTTGATGGCTCCGTGTCAGAGCTGGCTGTGAACTTCAGACGGATCAGGCTTTAATGAAAAAGTTACCAGTTGTTCTTGTCATCTTTTCCCACAGCTACATCCACTCTGTTGGGCTGCTCAGTAGGCCTGGGCATCACTGACTCATATAATCCATTCGATTTGATTCAGTTTAGCCTCAGACAGAAATATTATAATTCTGATCATTTATCAGTTATATCCATGTATACAAACGAAGCTGTGAGACTTCATCAGAGGTGTGAGCATCACAGCTTTGTGTCACTGAGGATAAAACATGAAGCAGATGTTCCTGTTCTGGCTTTTTATAGCAAATAACCTGAAAATATTCTGCAGTAGAACAGAAACTGAAGAAAACCATGAATGTGAACATGAACTGGTGCTGCTGAAGGGAAGCAGAGCAAAGAGGTTTGATTACAGACACAGCTGAGAGCTTGTAACGTTTCTTCGTTATTAAACAGCAGAAATGAGACTTTCTTGTTGGAAGGCAGTTAAATTAAAACCAAACAGTTTATTTATGCAGTTTAATGGTTGACTTTAAAAACGTCTTTTTTAAGAGTTTTCTGGCCAAGAGGACAACAGAAACTGCAACAAATGCAACAAATGTTCTGTAAAAATCTTTTACGTGGACAAAAGCGACCCGGTCGACTATAATGTGATTACAAGAACACTGTTACAAAGATACTTGAGAAGCAGGTAAATTTTATATTTTATATATAACCCCTTTGTAAGACCTGCTCACCGAAGTCTGTTTAGCAGCATTCATGTTACACATGAAAACACAAACATTGTAAATCAGTTTTTGGCGCCGGCTCATTTACTGTTTTTGTGAGCTCTGACTTCAGGTTCTGGTGTTTAAATACAAAAGTCGATTCAGGATTGAATGAATCGATATCGCTTCATTCGAGCTGCTCACCTCTTTCAAACGTACACACGAAGGACCACAGCCAATCAGAGAGGTCCCGCCCCTGACTATCTCTGATTGGTTTAGACCACGATAGGGGCGTAATGTGTGTCTGTTGTTGACCACACGGAGACTTTTGGAGTTGGAGAGACTTTTTTTGTACTGAACAGCATTTTTTTAGTCGCACCATTGAGAAATTAAGTCGCACTCTGGAGCCCTGACATAGCATCCACTCACACTGCTATGCAGATGACACCCAGCTCTATCTGTCCATGAAGCCAGATAACACACACCAATGAGTTAAACTGCA